CTAACGAAACGTTAGGAAGCACAACCTTCAGAACATAGCCAAAGAGCCCGAAAAACCCACAACAACCATTAGATCTCGGCCATGAAAGCCTTTGTGAATACATTAATTTCAGTGTTGCATATATATCACTAAGACTTCAAATAAAGATGCCATTTACTAGAAGCACACCAAATCATAACTTTTGAATAACTTCCTACATCCAGATTTCCCATCTGGATGAGAATTGATACTATAATTTTTGAAAATCCTGCTGAGGCTCAGATTTATGAGAAAGAAGCTTAAGTGCTTGAGAGTAGGTTGGGTTTGGAAGGAGCTGTCTGTCTGGCAGGTTGTCCTGGCCCCTTAGTGCTCTTCTAAGAATAAAACATTGATGCTGCTGGTTAGATCCATCCATTTACCTTAAAGTAGTATTGAAAGCTTTAAAAGGGACTGTATTATGTATCTGCTTCTCAGGATTTCTTCGCAATACCTGCAATGTAACACCCTAACAGGAAGAGTAAAGAGGAGTAATAGGGAAAACAAAACAATGGCTCACAGAGTGGAAATGATTAATATACGTTTCAGTCCAGAAGAAAGGTAATGCCAAGACGTGCAGTAACTACAGGACATTTGCTTTAATTTCCCATGCAAGCAAAGTAATGCTTAAGGTGTTGCAAGAAAGAATTTTACATTATATGGAGCAAGAGATGCCTGATGTTCAAGCTGGATTCTGAAAAGGAAGAGTCTGTGGATATCATATTGCAAATTTCCACTGGTTACTGAAGAGCACCAAAGAATTTCAGAAGAATATCAGTCATACAGAGGAGGGGCATGATCTGTTCTTGATCATCGAAGACTGCAGGCAGACAATAAAGGACTCAAGTTACAGAAAGCCAGATTTTGTCTGAATATAGGTAGTGTGGGCGGCATATAATTTAAATAAATAAATAAAAATAAATAAATAAATGTCACAGAAGTGACCTCACTGTGACTCTTCTGATGGGTGTATCTGCCACACCTGCATCTAAAATAATTTCCAAGAGTGCAGGAATGGAACCAATTACCTAAGGAGGTAGTGAACGCTCCAACGCTAGAGGCATTCAGGAGAAAGTTGGATTACCATTTGTCAGATCTACTTTGATTTAGATTCCTGCAATAAGCAGGGGGTTGGACTTGATAGCCTTATAGGCCTTTTTCAATTCACTTATTCTATGATTCCATGATTCCATCCTTTATAGACTACAGCAAAGCCTTTGACTATGTATATTATGAAAAATTATGGGTTGCACTGAAAGAAATGAGTATACTTCTACACTTCATTGTCCTGATATATAACTTCTATTATGGACAAGAAGCTATTGTTAGGATAGAATATGGAGAGAAATATTGGTTTCCTATAGGCAACGGTGTCAGATAAGAGTGCATTTTATCCCCTTACCTCTTCAATTTGTATGCAGTACGCATATGGAAAATGAAACTAGATTCAGATGAAAGAAGAGTAAAATTGGTGAAAGAAACATCAATAATTAAATATATGCAGATGAGACCATCTTACTGGTAGAAAACATCAGTGAATTGAAATGACTTTTAGGGAAAGTGAGAAAAGAAAATGTCAAAGCAGTATTGCAATTGAATGTTAAGAAGACAAAAATCATGACCACTGAAAGACTACACAATCTTTAACATTGACAATGAAGAAATTGAAATATTTATTTTGCATACCTTAGTTCAGTCATCAATCCAAATGGAGACTGCAATCAAGAAATCAGAAGAAGACTGAGACTAGGAAGAGCAGAGATGAAGGAATTAGAAAAGATCACAAAGTGTGAGGATGTATTACTGGATACCAATACCAAGTTCGTCCACAATCTTGGATTTCTGATCACCATGTATTGGTGTGAAAGCTGGACAGCAAAAAAAGATGACAGGGAAAAAATCAATTGATTTGAAATATGATGCTGGAGGAAAGCTTTGCAGATACCCTGGATTTTCAGGAAGATACATAAGTGGATCCTAAATTAAATCAAGCCTGAACTGTCTCTGGAGACTGTCCTACTTTGGGCACATCATAAGAAAGCAATCATGCTGGGAAAGATGGAAGGCAGCAAGAAAAGAGGAAGACCAAAAACAAGATGGTCTGACTCTCTAAAGGAAGCCACAGGCTGAGCAGAGAAGACAAGACATTTCAGAAATCTCTCATTCATAAGTCAGAGTCGAGTTGATGCCATATAAAAACATAACCTTGCCCAAGCCTGGCCTACTTGATTCTCTGGAGAAGCCATCTGGAGATTTACAGTGCAGTATTGTTACTATGTGGATTATATTCACCTCTCATCTCCTCTGATAAAATTCTGAGAGAGCATTTGATATCCTAAACCAACATTTAGTTACTATGTGAATATTGAGACTTAATTCAGGCAGGATCAAGATGATTTTGGTTGGTAGGGAATCCATTCTGCCAGTGGACAGCCAACCTATTTTGAATGACATTTTCTCTCTCTCAGTATCATGTCATGACCAGGTGGTGGATGTCACCAAAAACAATTCTATACAGATTCAGCTCATACACCCTTCTCGGGAAAGGCAGATCCAACCATGGCCACACCTGTTGGCATCATTTGTAGTTTATTTGGAGTACTACAGTGTGCTACATGTGTGTCTCCCTTTGAAGAATTGTCAGAAACTGCAGCTGTTGTAAAATACTGCATAAACGATGATGTCAGGGGACTGCTGTTCAGAACATATCAATCTTTTTTCAGTTTGCATGGGGTCCTGCTTTCTTCTGGCCAGGTTTTCAAAGTTCTGGATTCTACCTCTGAAGTCTTGAATGGTCCAGGTCCTGTGTTAGTGGGTTGCCTGCCTCCACATGATTCTTGTGTATTTAAGATCAGAGAAGGAAGTTTTTCTTT